CCCCCCCCCCCCCCCCTTCTCTCTCTCACACACACACACACACACTCACTAACATACACACACACATATGCACGCGCGCACACACACACATATGCACGCGCGCGCACTCACACACACGTGAACGATAACAATGAATAAAGGGACTATCTTCCCAGACTGGACTAAATAAGTACCATACTTTTTAAAAACAATCTTAATGCCTCACTTTTCCAAACAGAGCAAACAGGACGAGTCCAAGTGTGTGCTTTCCCAAGAGGGGGGAATAGGCTTTCATAACGCAAACACAATGTCATACCACTTCTTAGATGTTTGCTTTTCTGTTTCTATTCTTCTCTCACGCAATTAAGCAAATAAAAATGACTGAGTATTGTGACTAAAATGCAACACAAATGCAAGTTATCAAGGCCCCCGTTTAGTTTTTCAAGTATCCTTCCCTCCCTTTCCGATTTACATCGGGGCCTCGTTCGTAGCGCCCGAGGCGACCGATGGCTGATGACGTCACTCAGTGGAAATTTCCCAGCCGCCGGTCGTTCACCCAGCACGCGCAATTGGCAATGCCACTTTTTCCCTTAGCTACTCCCATATTTTTAAAGATTACGCCAAAACCGCTAAACACAGAAGCATGAAATTTTAAGGGAATAAAGAAAAATGGTGTACAACGTATCAGTCAGTTTGACAAATCACAGCTCCAAAAAATCTTCAAAGTGCACCACATCAACCACTTTCGCAAACGTTTTCGACTGCTTCTAGGATGGATACAATGTTGTCAAACTGCATACTACAAGATTGACCTCTTTTCTGATTGGCTGCCAAGTTTCATTCATATATCCATTTACGAGAAGCGGCGTGAGAGCGAGTTGCAGACAACAACCTTCGCGTTACTGCGTCCCACGAAACACTCCCGCGGCGGGGGCCAAAAATCGGCAGAACAAAACGCGCTCGGTGGGCATTGCTAGTATTAGATTTCTATATGCGCACATCTAGAGTCTAGATATATCTAGATCTAGATCTAGATGGGTTGGGTCGGGCTCGCAAAATTAGCGTCCGCGAGTAACGAATTACTCGCTGGCACTACCCGCAAACGAGCGGATGGGTTTACGAACCGTCCGCTTGTGAAGAGTAGTTCGCTACTCACTACACATCAGACAGAGACAACAGTTCGTTTAGCGAGCGGATGGAGAGACGTTCATGGCAGAAATCC